ATTTCATGCAACGGACATACTGCCCATCCATCCCCTACCCCACCATCGTTATCATCTAAGCAAAACCGGTAGTTAAACTTTTTGTTATTGTTATTGTCTTGAGGGGTTTGCCATTTTTCTTTTTATGATATGTGTATAAATGACATAACAAACCCATGTGGGAGTAAATTGGCAGTATTGAAACAGAGAAGACTATTTTTCCCAATTTCCTTTCGCGGGTCAAATTAAATAATGGCGGCCGAATTTTTCAATGAAAACAAAAAATTCCAGACGGCGGGGTTAAACTGTTTTGTCACGACTGCAGTCAATCAGTAAAGAAAATACTGTCCAATAATTTCATGGGTTTATTTGGACCAATCAGAATCACATAAAGGGATATGTTCACATGTATAACATCACAATTATTAAATTGCATACACTATAGGCAAAAGTGTACCGACTATGTGATAAATATTATAAATTATACATTATGTAATTTACTGCCATAACTGTAGAGAGATAGTAACGAGAAGAAAAAAGAAAGAAAGAAAGAGACGGTAAACTTGCAGATGATGTTGCACTTTTTGGAAGATGCATGGATAACAGTTATGTTCAAACATTTCTGTATAATGCACTTTGTGAGACATATGCTGCTGATCTGAGTGATTCATGTGAGGAAATGTCAAGTAAGACAGAAATCATTGTAATAAGCATTTTGTGTTGTTATTGACTCATTGCTAAATAATAGTTGTAGCGTTTTCTATCTATTATTTATTAGGGGTTCCCGAGTTGCCGAGTGTTTTGAAGCGCTCACCGTATCACTGCCATCTCACTTTTATCTGCGTATGTTAAAGTCTCGGCAATTTTGGGTACGTGAGAAAGTTTGCCAGTATCTTCCGGGGTTTTCCCGGATTCTAATGATATACATGTTTGCATGGCATTCTAATGATATGTATGTATGTATGTATGTATGTATGTATGTATGTATGTATGTATGTATGTATGTATGTATGTATGTATGTATGTATGTATGTATGTATGTATGTATGTATGTATGTATGTATGTATGTATGTATGTATGTATGTATGTATGTATGTATGTATGTATGTATGTATGTATGTATGTATGTATGTATGTATGTATGATACTATAATTATACATATGTATGCATGACATTCTAGTTGTAGGCATATGTATACATGACATTCTAGTGATAGGTATATTTATGTATGACATTCTAGTGATATGAATATGTATGCATGATATTCTAGTGAGAGACTTATGTATGCATGACACTTTAGCGATAAGGGTATGTATGCATGACATTCTAGCTATAGGCATATGTATTCATGACATTCTAGCGATAGACATATACATGCACGACATTCAAACTATAGGCATATGCATGCATGACAGTCTAGCGACATTGTAGCGAAAGGCATACAAATGCATGATATTCTAATGATAGGCATACGTTTGCATGACATTTTAGCGATATGCATATGAATGCATGATATTCTAACGAAATTCTAATAATAGGCATATGCATCCAAGACATTCTAGCAATAGGCATATCCATGAATGACATTCTAGCGACCGCAATTTGTATGCATGACATTCTAGCGACCGCAATTTGTATGCATGACATTCTAGCGATATGCATATGCAAGCAAAACATTCTAGCGATAGGCTTATGCATGCATGACATTTTAGTGATAGTCGTAAAAATACATGACATTAAGGCGATAGGCGAATGCATGAATGACATTCTAGCGATTGGCATATGCATGCATGACATTCTATGTTTGATATATGTATGCATGAGATTTGAGTGGTAGACATATGCATGCATAACACTCTTACGATACTTATATATTCATAACATTCTAATATTGGGGATATGTTTGAATGAAATTTTGATAATAGATATATAATTGCATAACATTCTATTGATAAATATATATATATATATGTATATATATATATATATATATATATATATATATATATATATATATATATATATATAGATAGATAGATAGGACATTCTAATGACTCATGTGCATGCCTGACATTCTAATGTTATATATGTCATTGTAATGTTACTTATGTATCCATAACATTCTAATGATAGTCATATGTGTGTATGACATTCTATTGATAGTCATATGTGTGTATGACATTCTATTGATAGTCATATATGTATATGACATTCTAATGATAGTCATATGTGTATGACATTCTATTGATATTCATATGTGTATATGACATTCTAGTGATAGTCATATGTGTGTATGACATTCTAATGATAGTCATATGTGTGTATGACATTCTAATGATAGTCATATGTGTGTATGACATTCTATTGATAGTCATATGTGTGTATGACATTCTAGTGATAGTCATATGTGTGTATTACATTCTAATGATAGTCATATGTGTGTATGACATTCTAATGATAGTCATATGTGTGCATGACATTCTAGTGACAGTCATATGTGTGCAGGACATTCTAATGATAGTCATACGTGTATATGACATTCTAGTGATAGTCATATGTGTGTATGACATTCTAACGATAGTCATATGTGTGCAAGACATTCTAGTGATAGTAATATGTGTGCATGACATTCTAGTGATAGTCATATGTGTATATGACATTCTAGTGATAGTCATATGTGTGTATGACATTCTAGTGATAGTCATATGTGTGTATGACATTCTAGTGATAGTCATATGTGTGTATTACATTCTAATGATAGTCATATGTGTGTATGACATTCTAATGATAGTCATATGTGTGCATGACATTCTAGTGACAGTCATATGTGTGCAGGACATTCTAATGATAGTCATATGTGTGTATGATATTCTAGTGATAGTCGTATGTGTATATGACATTCTAGTGATAGTCATATGTGTATATGACATTCTAATGATAGTCATATGTGTGTATTACATTCTAATGATAGTCATATGTATATGACATTCTAGTGATAGTCATATGTGTATATGACATTCTAATGATAGTCATATGTGTGCAAGATATTCTAGTGATAGTCATATGTGTGCATGACATTCTAATGATAGTCATATGTGTTTATGACATTCTATTGATAGTCATATGTGTATATGACATTCTAATGATAGTCATATGTGTGCAAGATATTCTAATGATAGTCATATGTGTGTATGACATTCTAATGATAGTCATATGTGTTTATGACATTCTAGTGATAGTCATATGTGTGTATGACATTCTATTGATAGTCGTATGTGTGTATTACATTCTATTTAATAGCAGATATTTATGCATGTCAGCCTAATGATACATATGTATGACATTTTGATAACACATGCGAATGCATGACATTCGAATGATAGGCGTATGTATGCAGGATATTCTAACGATTCAAATATGTATGCATGACATTCTAGCTATGCATATGTATGTATAATGTTCTAATGATACGTGTGCATGCTTGACATTTTAATGATACATATGTATGCATGACATTGCATTGATACTTGTGTTTGCCTAAAGATGTGCATATAGCTGTATGACATTCTAATCATATATATATATATATATATATATATATATATATATATATATATATATATATATATATATATATATATATATATATATATATATATATATATATATATATATATATATATATATATGCATGACATCGTAATGATACGTGTGTATGCATGACATTGTAATGATAGTCAAGTATATGCATGAACGTGCATTTCATATGCTCTTTCCTTTGCAATTAACACATGGGATCCAAACAAGGCATGAACGTTGATACTTGAGAGTAGGTTGTGTAAACATCTGTATTTCTTACCTGATTCCAACAAATCTGGGTTTCTTACCTCATTCCAACATAAGCAGAGACAACCCGTATTTTTCAGCCATAAACGAAAGATTGACTGGCAATAAGCTGGGTATATATCAGTGATTTTTGTTTTCAAAAGGATCGACTTTTTGATACAACATAGCTTACAAGGCTTGTTACTTACAAGTAGATTAACCACAATCTTACCGCCAGATAAGATCATTACCAAGTAATAAACGAATACTCTCGTTGGGTAAAGACGACACAGTGTTTTTTCTATTACGAGTTCTGAGACTAAGTATGATGACAAATTTACACAATGGAAAGGAACCTTCACAAAGACGCATTCTATTCTTGAATAAGGAAAGTTTCATTATATTAGAAAAAGACTTCTCAGAAAAAGGCACGGTACAAGCTAATCAAACAATCTGAGAAGCACAAATGTCCCTTAAACTTTTATTAGGGATAAATGATTGATATAAATCCGTTCGTCATGAATCGTTTTTCATTCTCTATTAAACATATCCGACCAGACTTTGTTGGACACAACAAATGTATTGTTTTTAATATATGACCATGACTTTGACCTCTTATAAATAAGAGCATTTGGAAAAGTATGTCTTGATTTTGTTGCTTCTTTTTCGATTTGTAGCAATCAGTAAGAACGCTCGTGCCCATTCGTCTTACAATAGGCAGACGTAGGAAGAGTTAAGAACTTCTGATTAGTCATAACTTGATTTTTAATCGTTGTGCCATTTGGATGTGCCCATATTGGCCTGAAATTTTTGTGTTTTATTAGAAGACACCCGAGTTGAAGACTTACTGACAAAGTAACTTTATGAGCTAAAAACTGCTCGTTACTAGCACCAGCAGCATTTTCTAAAGTTTCGACTTGGTATTAATCAAGGTAAATCTTATCACTATTGGACAAAATTCTTGATTATGATTTTTAACGTAGCTTAAATAATTTTTCAGTCATATCACTACAATGTCTGCAGTGTGGCAGTTTATAGTGATGTCTACCACTGGGCATCATGCCGCAGATATGTAGCATGATGTCCCAACCAGTCACATTATCCTAACACCAGGTCGACCAGTCCTATCACTAACCTATTAATGCTGAGCGTCAAGCGAGGCAGCCTTTGGTACCCTTTTATAAATTTTTGGTATGACTCGATCAAGGATCGAACCAAAGACCTACCGCATCTGAGACGGACGCTCTAACCACTAGGCCAACGGAGCTGTATAATGGCGAAAAGTGACTGAGCCATACAGCTCCCTCCAGAGCATATGAAACAAGGAGTGAAAGTTTGAGATATTTTCTCTGGATAAGACTCAAAAGGAAATGAAAATATTCACATACATATCCTAAAATTAAATTAATGCAAATATATGGGAAGATCAAAATCTAAGTAAATGACAACACAGATCCGTAGTCACCTATAAGTAAGACAAACCTACTGAAATATGTGTAAACACAAATGACAACATAGTAATAGTCTTCTATTTATGTGGTTGGATGGATGAGGAGGGAGTGTATTATAATAATAAATTTACTAAATAAATTATAATAATAAATTTACTAGAGGAAATTAAGAAGACGAAGTATATCACACGGCCTGATATATGTTTTCATTTGATCTAAAGGAGAGTGTTAGTTATTGAATTAGTTTCGTTTAGTGCAAGTGCACCGGGGCGACACGTGTGAAAGACTTTTCGACTATGCTGAGAAGGGAGATACTCCGGTAGTTGTTGCAGTCGCTACGGTCTCCTTTGTACTTCTACAAAGTGATGATGTTGGTTTCTCGCATGCCCTGGGTGATGTGTTCGTGTTCCCAGCAGAGGCAGAGGAGTTCGTGCAAGGGCTGTAATGCCGTCTCTCTAAGGAGTCTTTCCACAAGCGAGGAAGTCGATGGCTTCTCTGAGCTCTTCCAACAGTAACAAGACTGAAAATAAATATTTTAAAGATCTCGTTCATGATAAAATTGGATACACTTACATGCAATGCATACGGAAAGGCCCTAGGGAGCGATGACATCCCAACTGAAGTCATGTTTGTTTGTTATGCTTTAAATATAAGTGTATGCCTATTTTCTGTAAAACCTTTTGGTACAGGCATAGAGATCTTAATGTTATATTTTCTTTCTTGTTGGGAAGAAATTGCTAAGTTTATGCTTTCTATTAAATGCCTCAAAATTATGTTTGCAATTACATTTGACAAAATGTCTCAAATAAATATGATTTTGACTAAAAAATATTAGAAACAAAATGGTGCGGCGATAAGAATAATAACGGGTGCAAACACAAGTGCATCGTTTACATAATTATACCATGAAACTAAATGGGTAATCCTAAACTATAAGCATAAACTGCTTCAGTTATTTAAATCTTACTACGGACTAGACCCCGCATATCTTCAAGTCTTAATTTGACCGTTATTTAGAAAACATGAGACATACTTCGTTCGATCTTCAAACGGTTTTAGCTCCTTCCTGATGTGTAAAAATATAATTAATTTCAACCTTCTACAATTAAGATATGAAATTCGTTAACCTGTTGAAGTCAGAAACAGTCCTTCAATACATAAATGTAAACCCTTTTTTAATAGCGAGAAAGAAACTACTCCGTATAGCAACTGCCCTGTTGATATTATGTCTCTAGGCTGTTTAGCTGATCGTGTTGTTCAAGCGTTTCTGCCCAACCCCTCTAACGCCAAAGAAATGCACACACATACACATGATGGCGTACGAGCACGCGTTCAGTCGCTTCGGTGCCCTTTGAAAAATGCCAGAACTCGTTTGAAATTTTCTATCCCCTGCCCACAACTCTTGACCTCATCAGATCCTGTGTCATATATAGAATTTATTTCATTAATATGTGATATCGAATCACAACATTAAATCAGAACTAATGCTATGGTTATGAAAATCAAAGCATGTAAGTGTTCTTTATTTAAATGTAAATTTTCATGAATTTGTTGAACACTGACAAATGAAAAACACCGATTCAATGCAAGTTCCATTCACATGACAGTTTAGATTGATGTGGGTAATTTATACTAAAATGCTACCCATTCCCGGCACAGATTAAAACTTAATAAAATGCACACGACATTATGAAAAATTAATGCACTTAAATTACTAAGTGGTTGAAATTGAAAGACTGAAAATCTTTTGATGAACAAAAACAACGAATGCGTTGGTTTGCCTATATCCCAGATATATATCCTTCTATATACGCCACTAGATGCCAGAATGTTCATATTGTGAGGACACCACTGAACCTGGTATTTGAAACTTTGAATTCATCTTGATGGGACTGAATTGAAAACAGCTTCGATTTCAAATTCCATAGATCCAACAATACATTAGTCTTATCCCAAGATCCAGTGGCCAGAATAAACTCCTGATAGGGATTAAAGGACAAGGAGTGGACCGAAGCAGCATCGGCATGAACAGTGTAACTGAGGTTGTTTGAGCGAGTGTCCCAGAGCATAAGTGTCTCGTCATTACCCACAGATTCAAACATGTTTTGGTAGGATGGATGCGTGTTCTGCAAAAATGGAAATCGCATCAATAACTCCTTCATCTGTAGGCTTGGAATTGATATACCATAAACAAATGGCTTGGTCGTGTGAAGCACTAATTAGATAACCATTTATCATGGCACTCCAATAAAGCCCATATCCTTCTTGCTCGTGACCTTTCCACGTCAGTTTTGGACTACATTTTCCGCTGGGATCAGGTTCATATGGTTGCTTTGTGTAATCAAATACCAGCACATCACTGTAGCAAGTATGTGTTGCAATGATGCAATGATTCTGTGGCATGTAGCAAGCATTGTTTATCTCACCTTTGTGATTGATTTTCTTCTCAACCTTCCGAATAACCGATTCATAGACGTAATCAGAAGTATTAAACTTTGGAATTTTATTTGGTAGTGCCACACTATTTATCATCAAGTAGTTTTGCTCATCTGAATTTGTTTGAGTATCCAATATAAGTCTGTGCGAAGAGTACTATTTTCCTTCTGTCCTTGTGGCATTGGGCATCCATTGTACAGTAAGACTTGGCCATTCCAGTTCATGTTTCACCACTAAGTCAGTGATTACATTTTTATCCGTATTAACTATCTTATTCTCCTCATTGCACATGCTTTCATCATCCATATTAGCTATCTTATTGTCCTCATTGCATATGCTTTCATCATCCATATTAGCTATCTTATTGTTCTCATTGCACATGATCTCATCATCCAAATTATTTATCTTATTGTCCTCATTGTACATGCGTTCATCATCCATATTAGCTATCTTATTGTCCTCATTGCACATGATTTCATCATACATATTATTTATCTTACTGTCCTCATTGCACATTATTTCATCATCCATATTAGCTATCTTATTGTCCTCATTGCACATGATTTCATCATCCATATTAGCTATATTTTTGTCCTCATTGCACATGATTTCATCATCCATATTAGCTATCTTATTGTCCTCATTGTACATGATTTCATCATCCATATTAGCTATCTTATTGTCCTCATTGTACATGATTTCATCATCCATGTTAGCTATCTTATTGTCCTCATTCCACATGATTTCATCATCCATATTAGCTATCTTATTGTCCTCATTGCACATGATTTCATCATCCATATTAGCTATCTTATTGTCCTCATTGTACATGATTTCATCATCCATATTAGCTATCTTATTGTCCTCATTCCACATGATTTCATCATCCATATTAGCTCTCTTATTGTTCTCATTGCACATGATCTCATCATCCATATTAGCTATCTTATTGTCCTCATTGTACATGATTTCATCATCCATATTAGCTATCTTATTGTCCTCATTGCACATGATTTCATCATCCATATTAGCTATCTTATTGTCCTCATTGCACATGATTTCATCATCCATATTAGCTATCTTATTGTCCTCATTGCACATGATTTCATCATCCAGATAACTATCTTATTGTCCTCATTGCACATGATTTCATCATCCATATTAGCTACCTTATTGTTCTCATTGCACATGATCTCATCATCCATATTAGCTATCTTATTGTCCTCATTGCACATGATTTCATCATCCATATTAGCTATCTTATTGTCCTCATTGCACATGATTTCATCATCCATATAACTATATTATTTTCCTCATTGCACATGATTTTATCATCCATATTAGCTATCTTATTGTCCTCATTGTACATGATTTCATCATCCATATTAGCTATCTTATTGTCCTCATTGTACATGATTTTATCATCCATATTCGCTATCTTATTGTTCTCATTGCACATGATTTCATCATTCATATTAACTATCTTATTGTCCTCATTGCACATGCTTTCATCATCCATATTAGCTATCTTATTGTCCTCATTGCACATGATTTCATCATCCATATAACTATATTATTGTCCTCATTGCACATGATTTTATCATCCATATTAGCTATCTTATTGTTCTCATTGCACATGATTTCATCATCAATATTAACTATCTTATTGTCCTCATTGCACATGCTTTCATCATCCATATTAGCTATCTTATTGTCCTCATTGCACATGATTTCATCATCCATATTAACTATCTAATTGTCCTCATTGCACATGCTTTCATCATCCATATTAGCTATCTTATTGTTCTCATTGCACATGATCTCATCATCCATATTAGCTAGCTTATTGACCTCATTGCACATGATTTCATTATCCATATTAGCTATCTTATTGTTCTCATTGCACATTATTTCATCATCCATATTAGCTATCTTATTGACCTCATTGCACATGATTTCATCGTCCATATTAGCTATCTTACTGTCCTCATTGCACAGGATTTCATCATCCATATTCGCTATCTTTAGGTCATCATTGCACATGATTTCATCATCCAGATAACTATCTTATTGTCCTCATTGCACATGATTTTATCATATCCATATTAGCTACCTTATCGTTCTCATTGCACATGATCTCATCATCCATATTAGCTATCTTATTGTCCTCATTGCACATGATTTCATCATCCATATTAGCTATCTTATTGTCCTCATTGCACATGATTTCATCATCCATATAACTATATTATTGTCCTCATTGTACATGATTTTATCATCAATATTAGCTATCTTATTGTTCTCATTGCACATGATCTCATCATTCATATTAGCTATCTTATTGTCCTCATTGTACATGATTTCATCATCCATATTAGCTA